ACTGAGGCAAAATATTGATGCAGTAATTCTGACATCTGTGTTCCCCATGATTAACTCCCCAGTCTCAGCCACAAAGTGCCCAATGTTCACTTTTGCAACTCTATTCCCTTTCTTATACTTGTAAAAGCTTTTATTATCCATTTTTGTTTTGCATTAGTTTTATTTCATAATTTACCTTTGCTCTTTTTATGAATTTTTAGAAACTGTTTGGGAAATTTTTAAAGACCAGCAATCTTCCAGCCTGTCACTCGCGTTTGCAATATGATATGCCTTAGTCTTTGTCTTTACATTATCTTTTACTTTCTTGCTTAGCCTTGCATGTTTGTTTCCGCCCTGAGAATCTTCCTTCCTTTCTGGAATATATTTTATTTGGAGGATTTGTGTATCTCCTTAAATATATGCCACTGCTCATCAACTCTCCTACCTTTGTGTCTTCCAGCCCTGTCCACTAGGGCCAGATCTGTACTCTTACTATACAACTCCAGAACATTAGTTTGGGACTCCAGTTTCTTGCCCTCTGACTAAATTTGAAATTCTAGTATGCTATGGTCATGCTTCCCTAAGAGAGTCTTTTACAATAAGATCATGAATTAATCTCATCATTACACAATACCAAATCCAGAATAACCTGCTGTTTGATTGTTTCTTAGAGATTGATTCTACAACACACCGCTCTAATACTTTCAATGAACTCTCCCTCAAGGCAACCCTTGCCAATTTGATGAATCCAGTCTAAATGTGTATTAAAATCATTGATCATTGCTGCTGTATCTTCTTACAAGCCCCCAGTATTTCCTGCTTTATACTGTACCACACTGCAGGACCACTGTTTGGGTACCTAAAAATTACTCCAATCAGGGGGTTCTTTCCTTCGCTATTTCTTACTTCTACCCAGACTGATTCAATGTCTTGAAGGAAAAGCAAGGGATTTATTGTTAAACTTGCCCTAAGCACTGGTTTGACCTCAGCTGAAGAACTTAATGCAGTTCTGGGCATTGCAACTTAAGAAAGATGTGAAGATATTAGAGATGGTGCAGAAAAGAATATCATAGAATAGTTCCCTAGAGGAGGAACTTAAGATACATGTATGGATTAGAGAAGTTGTGACTCTTTTCCTTGGAGAACAGAACATAGAGTTATTCAAAAATATTGGCAAAAGACTTAAAATAATAGACAAAAGAAACAAAAGTGACAGAAGGCAAGTCTTTTCTTCATGAAGCAGGATGCACCGAGAGTATGGTTCAATCAAGGCATTTTAGAGGAAATTTGATTTTGTTTTGTAAATCTGCAAGCTAAAGGGAAAAAAAATGAAGTAATGGCACTGAATTGCTGCTTCAGTGAGCCAACAGACCAAGTGGGTTAATTGGTTTCTCTGTGCTGTAACCATTTTTATGGTGTGCTTTTGTTGAATCCATACACAGTAATAATTTCCACAGGCATTCTGATTTCTGCGCTTCTGGTTAGTTTGGATAAATGCAAGGGATTGCATTTTGGTAAAACAAACAAAGGCAGGAATTGTACAGTTAATGGTAGGACCCTGGATAGTGTTGTCAAACAGAGAGACCTAATGGTTCATGTACATAGTTCTTTGAAAGTTGTATCACAGGTGGTCAGGGTGGTTAAGAAGGCATTTAGCATGCCTGCCTTCAATGCTCAGACCATTGAGTATAGGAGTTGGGACATCATGTTGAGGTTATAATGGACATTGGTGAGGCCATGTTTGAAGTACTGTGTACAATTCGGGTTGCCTTGCTACTGGAAGGATATTATTAAATAGGAGAGGGTTCAGAAAAAAAATTTACCAGGATGTTGCTGGGATTGGAGACTTTGAGTTATAAAGATAGGCTGGGACTTTTTTCACTGGAGTCTGGGAGGTTGAGGGGTGACCTTATAGAGGTTTATAAAAATCATGAGGGACATAGTTAAGGTGAATAGCAAAGGTATTTTCCCAAGGGTGGGCGATTTGAAAACTAGGTGGCATATTTTTAAGGTGAGAGGAGAAAAGTTTAAAAGAAGTCTTCAGACAACTTATTCATACAGAGGGTGGTTCATATGTGGAATGAACTGCCAGATGAAGTGGTGGATGCGGATACATTTGGACAGGTACATGAATTGGAAAAGTTTGGAGGGATGTGGGCCAAAAGCAGGGAAGTGGCTCTAGTTTAGTTTGGGAAACCAGGTCGGCATGACGAGTTGGACTGTTTCCATGCTGTAATCTCTCGGACTTCCTCAAAAAAAGATAGCTTTGTTAGATGTGACAAATCCATATTGCCTTTCTGATCAAGTCAGCTTTAAGTGCACCCTGTGTTCCTAATTAGATTCCAATAATTTCCTTTAATAGACATTAAAGAAACAGGACTGTATGGCTTGGTTCCTTTCTTTGTTATCTTTCTTAATGGCACTTGTAATTTTCCAGTCCAAAGCGATAGTTTGAGATTTGGAAGACAATGGCAAAATCACGTGCAATTTTCTCGTCTAATACCCTAGATCTCAGTGAAAATCATCATATCCTCGGGATTTGTCTGTCATCAGTGCCATTATCTTTTCTTACCTCTAGTGTTTTATGTAGCTAGGATATATTCACATTATATGTGAAATTTAAGTTTGTGGTAGCTTTGTTGCATAACTAACCTTCTTCATGTCATCCACTGTAGTTAAATTTTCAGAAAGTAATCACCTTTTCCCACTGTTTCAGCAATTTTAATAATCTCACAAGTCTTTGGAGCTGTAGCTTTCTTGGATAATTGGAAAGAAAAGATTAATACTTACGTAAAAAGATCTTTTAAAATATTGAACATATTGCATTTTATCTATCTCAGTTTGCTACACACAACTTGATTTTGTTCTAGAAATATCGTTACTAGTCAATTAATCTGTGCGCATTGAAATTTGACAGGCTATTTTTCAGTGCTGCTACTAGGTTTAATCACTCTTGGTTCATTCTGTGGGCAAAACCTTAAAATAAGATGGCCAGCAGAGATAAGGAAAGATCATGGGTAAAATTATACATTTGTTTAAGTGCTAGTTGCATTGAATTTTTTGGATGTTTTTGACCGTGAGGTCTAGCTAATTTTGTCACTATATCTTATCAATCTTTACCATACCTTGTTAATTATCTAACCCACCCCCATGATGCCACTATCTTGTACAATTCCAGTCCCATCTTCGGATTCGCTGTCCCATGAACAACTTGTCAGTTCCAGGATATCCCAGAATTGACCAGCATCCCTGGCGCAGTGCCATCTTTAAAATGCTGGTTTGTAACTGACAAACACTACATTGCACGGAGTAGAAAGGGAAATATGGCAGCCCACTTTTCTGGCAGTGACCAGGAGATCCTGCTGGATGGGGGAAAGTGCCCTCTTACCCCCAGGACCTGCAGTGGTGTCCATGACACTAAACCTTGTGAGCCTGATCCAAAGTTATGACTTGGCTCCAGTGCAGTCTAAGCTATATGGAGGAATGCACAACAATGTAGGAAGAAGACCAGTGACCTCTCTAATCTCATTGTAAGTGCTGCCATCTTCTCTCTGATACCTTGCACTACTGTATCCACCTCCTACTATGCTCACAATTGCTTGCAGTCTTCCCTTGTGCTCTTACCCACCTGAATCCTCTGACACCACTAACACCGTATGTTCTCCATGCTGTCTGCTCACTTTGTCACCTTTCAGGCCTAAGATTAACAGCTGTGCTGCTCTTAGCCTATTCTTTCATTTCCCTTAATATCTGCTTCTCTCTCATGTGAGACCAATAGGGCAGCAAGGGTGAAAACAGATGGTGGGCTGCCTGACATTTGGCTCTTCATCCCTTAAGTGGAGAACATCTAACTACCCCAAGCAACTGACTGGCTGTGTTCAAACTGCTGGACCAGTACCAGTGGATTCCCTTGATTTACTGTGCTGGGACCCAACTGAAAGTTGTCTCCCTTGACTTCCCTGAGGACAGCTGATACCCACAACAAGCTTTCTGTTTTTGTTACTGCACTAATTAGCAAGACAATACAGTGGTACTGAATTCTACGTACTGGCTGAAGGGACAAGATAAGGATGCTGTGAGCATCCAGGTAGGTCGAAGTAAGTGAGCACTCTGACGGAAAGCAATCAGGTTGGATATGCTGTCTGGTTCAAGCCATGAGGTGGCACTTGTCCCTAACTGCAGTGCCCTCGAAGCAACAATGCAATGATAGTTGCTGGTTTCACCCAAGGTGCAGAGGCTGCCATTTGTCATAGGCGAATGCTTGTGGACATAAGGTGCATAGGACTGGTGCTTGTGGAACGTGCCCTGAGGCGTTGGTGCTGAGCATCCAACGTGGAGATCGTTTTGGACTGATGTTACTCTAACTTTCATGGTGGTAGTGCTTGACTTCTTATTTATTTGGCCCATTTGGTATGATAGGAAATAGAATATTTGAGGTGAGTTGTGGCATTTTAATGAGCAATAATTCCCCTTAATTGGCAACTTATCACTACTTAGCAAAATGCAGATGCAGCAAGTTGCTCCCAACATCAAGCTAGGTCTCGTCAGACTTCTCAGTACAATTCTACCATAACCCATTATCGTTCAGGCCCCTATAAGATTTCACTCCATCTTACTTTCAAAGTTTCTAAGTGTACCTCTTGCGATTTATTTTTTAATCCAGTTGATAAAAATCATTTAGAACTTTGACGTGGAAATTAGATTTTTTTTTAAAAAGATATAACAAGTACTTATCCATTGTCATAAAATGTAATGTAGTTTGCATTTAAAATCTATAACTTAATATACCCTCATTTTAAATTCGCCTAAATTTGCGTTCCTCATTTAAACAATTAGAACTGTACTCCCTTTTTCTTGCACTTAAACATACTTCAGATTAATTTGTTGTGACCAAAATTGTACTTTCTAAAACACTTCATGTGAATGCAATTAATATCTTGCAAAACAGCTTACTTGAACTTTTAAATCTTCTGCTTTTACTAATGTGATAAACTGATTGTGATGTATTTTTCCCTTTTAAGGTTAATGAAAAGGAAGATGATCTGGGCAAAGGTGGTAACAAGGAGAGTCTTGAATCAGGAAACCATGGAGCAGGCGTAGCCTGGGGTATAATTGGAATAGATGAGGACCCCAAGTAAATATGTTGCAAAAAATTGTGATTAGAGACACTGTACTGATTTCATAGACCTAAGTCTGTAGTCCTTGTTATAGATCAGCAATTGATTCAAAATTGCATAGTTAATTTTGCATTGTTTTGAACAATATGCACACACTTATACACTGTATGTCAGGAATTTAATCGTCAGGAGTTGCTGGAAAAGCTCAGCAGGTCTGGTAGCACCTGTGAAGAAAAAAATCAGAGTTAAAGTTTCGGGCCCGGTGACCGAAATGTTAACTTTTTTTTTCTTCACAGATGCTGCCAGACCTGCTGAGCTTTTCCAGCAACTTCTGTTTTTGTTCCTGATTTACAGCACCTGCAGTTCTTTTGGTTTTTACTTAATCATCAGGGCCTGTTTTAAAAGGCCAGGTGTTATTTTTAAAACTGGGGCTGACACTGAACATCATTTTCATTCTTTCGAGCAGTTTTTATCTTCTTTCTTTAAACGTTGAATATTGATATCAAAGAATGACTCGGATGAGTTAGAGTCTAGCAGTGCAAGAGATCGGAATTGATATAGTTCTAAAACTGAAGTGACCTAGATCAATAATGGTGTCAATGAGTAATTTAAATACTTTATACTGTCAGAATAAGTGACTTCCAAGCCAGTAGCTCAATATCCTGAGGATTCACTGGACAATAAAAGGAAGTCAATATGGTTTAATTTTTTTTAAGAAAAGGAGGTCCTCGTAGTGACAATCCCGATTAAATCTATTTGGAAAAGCCATGTACAATTCACTTTCATTTCTTAAACTAATATTACAGTGTTTACCAAGCATTCAATTGTAGTGTATTTAAAAATGTAGACAATTTTCAATGTGAAAGTTCAACAGTGCCTGTTATTTCCCCCGTATCAGCCAAAATAAATGCTCATCAGTACAGTTCAAACCCCATGACAGTAAGTTAGATGTGTGATTGTAACATTTCTTCATTTCTCAAATTAATAGCTTTCTCCGCACGCTTTGATGCATTTCCAAACCTTTTACTGGGCAGTGAAGTGAACATTAAAAAAAAATACTTTTTAGTTTTGATGAATGGTGTCAGTTTGACCACCTTCCTCCTGGCTTTGTCATAAATTGTGAATCAACAAAGCTGTACACAATTACTTCACATTCTGGTCCATATGATGCATAACTGTTGAATTTGGGGAGAATCTGGCTAGTTGACAACTTGGTAGAATGGGAATCGGGACCTGAAAAAGTGTAATCTCTGTTGAAAATTACGCAGGAATTTCCTGAGGTAGTTTGATTTACATTTAGAGCTCATCATTGACAAAGGTAGGACTTGTGGAATATTGTCACCTATTACAATTCAATTTTATTTCTTTCATTACTATTCATAAGATTTTGTAAAAGAAAAGCTGCTGCAGATGTCCATAGAATGAGAGGCAACAGGCAACAAATTACTTTTGGAATTAAGAGTTTTGAGAAATTCTGGAGGTAGAAAAGGATGAATGAAACTGTTCCTTTCCTCATCCAATTTTGCTTATGATAAAAGTAGATAGGAAAGCAAGTTACAAGGAGGAAACAAAGTGTCTGCAAAGAAATGGATGTCAAGTAGAATACGAGAAGTAAGGTTGGGCACTGCAGTGTGAAGAACAAAATAAAGTTTTGAAATGGAGAGCATTTCAGAATACTGCATACATACAGACCTGGACATCCATGTACACGTCACAGAAAGTTAACATGCAAATACAGCAAGTAATTAAGGAAAATGGAATGTGATAACCTTTTCAGCCTGTGGCTCCCTGTGCAGTATTTACACAGCTGATCCCTTGCAACACCCCATTTTCCACCTAAAGAACCAAAACTAGACTAGGGCAAATCCTTTAGAGTTGTGACGTCAGGAATTCAGCTTTAGTTTCTCTTTTCAGTTAAGATGGGGATCAAAAGAATTTGAGCGTTAAACTGCAGATTGCATTTCATCTGATCAATGCACTGTTGTTTAATCAAAGAGTTGCTGATTTTCTTTTGAAACAATTAATTTTATTGTTCTTATATTTTGTTCTCAATTTTTCTAAAGCTTCTAGATATTTTCTAATTGACCTGTACAGAAATGTTGTCACCACCTTTGGGGCAGGTGGGACTTCAACTTTCTTAAGCTTTTATATTGTTGCAAAAAAAGGTGTATTCAGTCTGTTTAAAATTGAGTCAATAATGACTGTCTACCTTAGTACAGATTGATGGATAAAATTGTTTTGTTTTTATTTTCTTGGTTAGTGAATAGCAGGGATGTAAGGAGCTTTACATTGCTACATCCTGAATTAAAGTGTTAAGCCACTAACGTCCCACTGATGTGCAGTTCCTGTTGTAATACAAGAAATGTGGCATACACACAGTAAGGCTGTACAAATACCATTGGGATAACTCACAAAAGTTCAGTAATACTGATTAAAATGCTCATCTTCAAAATAGTGCTGTGGATTCCTTTGTTTATGTAAAAGACAGGACTTGATATCTCCTCCAAGAGAAAGCATTGTTGATAGTGTAGCACTTTGGCAATAGTGTATTAAAGAGTCTGACAATTTTGAGCTTCACCCTTTAGTATAACTAACCCACAACTTTGTTTCAAGCAACATTTACTATTATAGATGAATATGAAAGATGTTTAATTTTATAAGTGGTAATGGTTAAAAAATTCATTATTGAAAGCAGTCGCTAGTCAGCAATTTCAATAGATAATATTACAAAAGCATATTACTATTCAAGTTTATCATGCTTCAGGCCCCACCCCTGTGATCTATGTGAAATCTACTTTGAAATATGCTGGGATTAATTGCTAATGGACACATTAATGTAGTCCTACAGTCTGCATATTTGGATTTGCTTGGCTGGAGTTTTTAGGCACAAGTAAACTGCAAGGTTTAAACATGAGATTTGGCATGAAGAAATTATGTTCCTTTCTTTTGAAACAATTAATTTTGATATCTCTACTTTAGCTGAAAACCCGAGGTGGTGAAGATCATAGATTTCACTATGCTTTATTGTTTTCTTGAAAGCTTGTTTCATGATTTAATGCGTCAATAGCTTGCTTTTTTATAAATTTACATTTTATCCCCAAATAAGGCAATGATTAACGTAGTGCATTAAACCTTTTTGGATATCAGACATCTGGGTCTTTTCCCTTTTCTTCAATAGGTTTCCATCAAATGTGTCATAATCCTGGCAATGGTTTGGTGTGCATTACTGCTACAATTTTACCAATACCAAGGAAATGATTTTGGCAAATCTACTTGTCAGGGATCTTCCAAGTGATTATGTTCCCACACACTTGCTGCCTTTCCCCTTCTATGCAGTAGAGACTCTGGATTTGGAAGGTGATGTTGAAAGAGCATTGATGAGTTGTTGCAGTACAGTGTGTGGATGGTACATACGTAGTGGTAGAAAGCAAACATGGTGGATGGGATACCAGTCAAGTAGGCAGCTTAGTCTTGAAAAGTTGAACTTTTTTAGTGACTTTGGCACTCATCCTCAGAAGGAGGAGGAGGCAAGGTTATCATTTAATATTTTTAAATGCTGGAGAAATGCAGCAGTCATGGCAGCATTTGTGGAGAGAAAAACAGTTAAATGTTTGAAGTCCAGTTCATCAGAATTGAAAGCATGTGGGAAATGGTGGTGAGAAGGGAGGGGAAAGAAAAATGAGTAGAACAGATGGAGACAGTACTGAGAGAAACAGGAAGCAGCCAAAGGAGTGCAGTAAATGTGCTGAATGGTGCTAATAGGTGTGACAAAACGCAGACTCGGTGACCCTGTGCACCTCCGCTCCACCTGTAAAAGTGATCAAAGTTTCCAGTTGCTTGCCACTTCAATACACCAGTGTGTTTGTGCCAGCATTTCTACCTCAGTGCTCCAGTGAAGCTCAATGAAAGTTGGAAGAACACCACTTAATCTGCTTGGGGACTTTGAGCCTTCAGGGCTCAACATAGAATTCAACCATTTTAGAGCCTTCCTCCTTGTTCATTAACTAGATACCCCATGTCCTGTTCTGCATGGGTCCTTCCCAGTAGAAGCAACCCATTTTTCAACCATTCACACTTACTGTTGGCACCCAAATTTATCACACCCAGATTTTCAGCAGCAATCCCATTATCTGCTTTTTCCTCCCAACGCCCCCCCCCTTTCCCCCCCCCCCCCCCTTCTCCTCTTTTTCCCCCCCCCCCCCCCCCCCCCCCACCCTCACCACTACAGTCTCCATCTATTCAACATTCGCCTCCCCCTTTATCCCTTCCCTCAATAATCTGCTTAAATACCATTTCCAATTGCTTTCAATTCTGATGCAGGGTCAACATTTTTTCCTCCAAAGATGCTACCAGATCCAAGTTTCTCCATGCTAATAACCTCAAAATATCCCATGGATAACAAATTTTTTTGAAGTCATCGCTCATTGGCTGCCACATTTCCTACAAAACAATTTGTGCATCCATTTTGAGGACATATGTAAAAGGCTCTTGTGGTGTTGTGATAGTGACCCCATCTTTGAATTAGAAGGCCTGGTTATAAGTCCCACCTGCTCCAGAGGTGTTTAGAAACAGGTTGATTAGAAACTACAAGATCTAAGGATGAATGCCAGAATTTCTTTGTTTTTTGACAACATACATTTGAAAGTACACGCAAGTCTTAACTGAACAGCTCATTGTAGAGAGCAACTACAACACTCAAAGAACTGCACTGAATTGTTAATTTAAGTGTGAACCAATAACTTGTTAACTCTGGGGAACTTCCAGGACCCTGCAGTCCTTCCTGCTGAAACTTTTGGACTCATCTGCAAAGGTTTTGTAGTACCACAAAGCAAACCATTTAAGCTTTCACCTGACAAAGGAGCAGTGCTTCAAAAGCTTGTCATTTCAAATAAACCTGTTGGACAATAACTTGGTGTCATGTGACTTCTGACATTTAAAAGGTGTACATCTCTAGTATGTGGCTATGTTACTGCTCTGAAACAGATGATTTGTCATAATAATTCTCCATGATTGACACAATA